AAAAAAAAATTTATTTTTATTTGTTCAAATATCTTACAGTATTCAAGCATTACAAAGTTTCTACAAAACTTTCACGAGAAGTAACGACAACAGGTAGATTGTATTCTTTTGCTATACGACGTTGTGTACTGAAGGCTTTTATTTGAATATCGTCACCTGGTTGATGTTGACTAATAACAACAGAAATAAATATGTAATAAATTAATTCGAAAAGAATACGTACATTTTAAAGTAGCACGTACAACATCGCGTGCAAAATGGCGTGCATACACATTATTCCACTTATCTAAAATACACTTCCATTCAAAGATTTAAAAAAAACAATATTCTTGCCTTCCTTAAAATGATAAAGTCTAAAAAATGACTGAATAACATATTTCATGCCAATACCTTTATTATCAATATTAATATTATTCTTTATATAATTGGAAATGGATTGCTGTGAATGATTCAATCTAAATAAATATGTAGACTAATATAAACTAAACTAAGCATTAAAGTCATATTTACTTCTCGAAAAGTACATCCATATGACAATATGAATCTGCAATATAAAAAACTTCATCATCTTTATCATTTTCCAACATTGAGATGTTTAATACCATATTGTAAATCTCCTTTTCTAATCCTGATCGGGATAAATGTTCATTTTTACTTAATACATAACCAAAGGAATCACTAAAAAAAAAGTATTTTTGATAAAATATATATTGTCATTATTTCAATTTAAGTTAATTTTCAGTATATTGAACGAAAATATAAAACTAAATATAATATATTAATTTTATTCACAATGCATCTTCATTTTATCATATTTATCAATGATATCAATGCTAATTCAATATATTTTACTATGATATTAAACCTAAGTTATTTTTATTCCATCGTTAAAAAACAAGAGTGTGGGTGTGAGGACAATACTTTTGTGTCCACTCTCACTCAAACCTGTATTTACACGCACGCTTATACCCATACCTAGCTATTTTTTGTCGAATAGTTTTTCTGTTTGGACCGACATAACCATGTTCAGCAGTACAGCAGTATGAAAAAACTTCCTCATTCCAGATCGACGGAAAATACCAAATGGAAGACCATCATGCAATTCTTATCTACGTTCAGATGTTACAATTAGAACTTGACTCGTTGAATTATCATTATTTTGTGATGCAAACAACATGTTACGAATTTGATGTAACCAACTTGCCAAATGCTAAAGTAAATTAGCATCAGTTCGTTTACTACATTGATAAAAATTATGAAAAAGAAAAAAAATATTTAAAATCATAGACCTATCCTCAGTTCACTTTTTTCTGTGTTTACGCAAAAATAGTTTCATAATATATAAAGAGCAGATGTTTATTTTTAATAGATCTTCAGCGGCTATATCATGACTCGAAAGAAAGTCGCATTGAAAGAAACTAGTAAAACAGATGTTCCTTATCATTGTACATTAATTTAATTATAATCTTAAATTTTATCTAATGATATCTTTATCTAGTGAAGTTCAGATGAAATGATGAGTATTTAATATTTTATTCTCAGCAATACTATTTTATAGTCACAAGTAACGCTCTTCCGAGGACTCGCATTCTACTCAAGAATAGACGCAGATCAAAACATATTTGAGCCGTCGACACCGGTAACTTGTCGAACTAGCTTTTAAGGAATACGTGAAGTGTTAGCGAACTTATACGCAAGAAAGCCAACAGTTTATAATCGTCACACTGCACTACAAACAGGGGAACATTTGGACATCCTTAAAATGCATTGCCTGAAATCTCGGTTTCTATCAGCCTACGTCATTTCTCCCAATTCCTCGCTTCGAAATACATCAAGAAATGTCTTTTCCGGAAAGTCGGCCTTCGATGTTTTTTGACCCTGTAGACACACAAGCAATCAATCAGACAAACTATGTTTGCAAGATTCTTCTCTACGAGAAAGAGAATACTTGATTAATTTGTAGCTTAGGTTAACCGCATTTAGTGCTCTACTACAGGATCAACGCAATCTGGGTTATGTAAGGGATTATATTTGTTATGTACTGCTTTGATATGATTCACATACCATAAAATTGTAGCTAAATATTCGTTTTCTTCTTCACTTAATTTTTTTCGATTATTGTTGCATTTTTCGTACAAATGTGTTATTTCGGCATAATACCGGTTTAACTCAAATAAATTTATTTTTTGAATTATAGTCATACCGTG